GTGCTGATGAACTGATTAAGCACGCATCTTCGCTAGGTCTCTCTGTTTTCCTGGAATCACACCAACTCTTCCCTAAGGCCAACTATTAGTCAAGTCATGTGATCCCACTAGTAACTGACAACATCGAGTGCATACCAGAAACTTGCCACAGAACGCAAGATCTTGTGCTCACTGTTATCCCATAGCTAGCGCACGCTCAGTGTCAAGGAGCTATATTTATGGAGAATATACGGTTGACTAATTCTTGTGGATATATTCTACAATCTAACCCTGTATTAAGTCAAACTATTGGCTGTGTAATGACCCATTTTGTCTTCCGTTAAACCTCCTTTAAAGGTCAGCCCGACTTGACTATATTAGACACAAATTCTAGAAAGTGGATTTGTATTGTATGCATTGGGTGCTCAAGCTGTTTTGAGTATTTTAATACTTATTTCTACACTGAATAATAGCCATGACTAAAACACCTATTAAAAAACCTTAAGTACTTACATCATCATCAGCTTACTCTAAAGTAAAACACACACTTTCACATATACACCCCACAAACATAAGAGAAAAATTCTTTTTTCAGAAGTTCTCTTTCCTTTTTTTTCACTAGAGCAGAAACAGGATATAGATATGTTGTTTAATATTATTTCAGCTAAGACATTTTATGTCTTTAAACTGTAACATTTATGGCAAGACAAAGCCTGACTGAATAAGTATACTTACTTTTAAAAAATACTTATATAATTAGTGCCTTAAGACAATTTAAAAAATATTGTTGTTTTAAATCAATTTATCCTGAAAGTTATCACTCAAACCTTTTTTAAAGCAATAACCTTCGTACATCACTATGCTAAAATACAATGTAAAAGCAAAAAAAGCAAGGACGTCCAAGCAACTAGGAATAAGAAGCTGTGTCAAGACTTCTGAAAAAATAGCAGATTCTGGGAGTTACATAACCTAATGCTCTGGGGTCTGTGCTGGTGATAAGGCTTGAGACAGGGCACCCCAAAGTGCCCCTCGTTAGTGTATTGATTATTTTGAATTAAAGTCACTAAAGAAACAACTAGTACAAGAACACACGGACCCTTTCTGGCCTGCCTGAAAGCATGAAATGAGTTTCCCACGTGAAAGGTACGGTCCCTGCTCCAGGAAGCACAGAGGCATCCTTACCACTAGAGAGCGAAACGCAGGGCTGAGAAGGCTGTGTAAACAACCTTTCCATTTCTTCACTTGATTTGTACCCAAGCCTAAGTTTCTCTGTCTTGTCAGTTCTTTATAAATTTGTTTCTTTGTCCAAAAAGTATATAAATAGTCTGTTCTAGTCATTTCTTAGGTCCCATATCTATGGGACCTCCATATGTACAAAATTAAATTAGTCTTTTTTTCTTCTGTTAATCTGCCTTGTGTCAAGTTAATTATTAGACCAGTTTATAAAAACCTAGAAAGGGAAATGCACTGGAAAATATATATGAGCTTAGCTGCAATAAGATCCATTTGGCAACGCTATTATTTAAACCTTTGCAGGATGAGAGTCAAGTCTTGTAAAGGCTGTGATTGTTAAAGAACAATGAATTCTCATAAAGTATTCTCATTCTACAAAATGGGGTGATAGCAATGCCTGACCGATAAAACATACAGAAGGAAAAGAAGTAACAAAACGATCCTTTCAGTCATCGGCTGAGAAAGAAAAACACAACTATTAGTATTTCATGACTTTAAAGAGGCTACATGGAATGTTAGTGCGACTAAAAAAATCCTCCTTCATCCATCCTTCCAACCACCCACTGTACCAAGTGCTTCTGCCCAGTGTGCCAGGCCCTGGGTGGAGAACAGTGGCCGGAGGCAGGCACAGGCCCACCTGCACGGAACTTACACACTACAGGACATAAGCATCCACCAACTGATCACACTGATGAAGGTCACTTTATGAACAGGGACAAGGGCTCTGAAAGGAAAGAACGCAGTGCTACAGAGAACTATAACAAAAGAACCTGAATAAATGCTATCTAAAATTCAACGGGGCTTCTGTTAATAAGCCTTCTCACCACCACAATTCTGGACACAACTCTAGGAAGAAAAACAGCATAACTAAAACAACTTAGCATCCAATATTTATTTCAAAAGAGATTTCTTTCATGTAATTCATTTTTAAATAATAATTTCACCCCTGCCACATCATAAATGCTGATTTTTTTTAATCTAATGTAATACCCACCATGGAATACTTTATCTGTCTTACTAAAATCTTACAAATTTAACACTTCAGTATAAAATCAGTATCTTAAGTATTTAAATTCTTATGTTCAAGAGGAGCTTTTTCGGATATACCACATTTTTTTTCAAAGTGGCTAAATTTTCTCGGAAGAGGAGAGGCTAAGTAGCATAAATCAATATTCTGTTTTTTGAAGGTCACTACAAAACTAACAATCAACTGCAAATGCATGGGGTAAAAACCTTTCTATTTTTCTCCTGGGTGTAATTTCAAATCATCCTGATGACAGCTATTGGCTGTAAAACCTGTGTACAACATTCAGTCAATTTCAACAAAGCTTAATAATTAATGAACATCCTATGTCATTAATTTATAATAAATCAAAGCTGCTTCAAAGTTTGCAAGTGCACTGTTTAAGATTCTACCCGAAGGCAAACTAACTGATGGTGAATTCTGGCCTGAGACTCCTTGATTTCAATGTGTCAACATGTGCCTTCTGCAAAATTCAGTCAACGTTCAAGCAGTGAGTGTAGGGTCTGGAAGTGGTCAGGTGACCTAATTACTTTGCATAATTAGTGAGAGGCTCTCCCTGCAACTAAAATAGATGTTGAAATAAAGAGACTTCTTTTCATTAGCCACAAACAGGAGAAAAATGTTATGATTACAATTCTTTTAGCTGAAAGGGAGCACACAAAAATTGCTAAAGCTGTGTTGGAGTGACGGGATTGCGGGTGATTTTCCTTTCCTGTTTCTGCTGAACTTCCTGTAATGCTACGTTACACTTTGATCACTTCAAATATAAAATAATAAGAAGCATATTTACAAAAAGGAAATGCATTTGTCTCCCTAATTCTTCACCCCCCCCCACCAAACCCATTTACCTATCACAGAAAACAAAACATCTAGAAACAAGTCTATCCAGCTGTTTTTCGCTGGCAAAGACAGCCTGATTTCTTCCGGATAGAAGGGTCCTCTGTCACACCCCGACCTCTCAGTGCCATGACTCGATCATTTCTCGGGTTGTGACTTACAGGACCTGGCCCCACCCAAGGTCATGGAACCTCGGAGCTCATCCCCTGCTCTGAGGGAGCTGTTTGAACATACACCACACCAAAGCAAAGTCCAGGAGCTATCTCATAATTAAAAAAAAAAAAAAAACTACTGCTTTAATCCCGCAGCACGATTAATAGTACCTGAAGAGCACTGGCCCCCCTAGATGGGACAAAAGCACATCGTTTCCATTTCGCTCACCCACAGCTGTGTGCCACTCCTAGGTTTCCGTAACACAACTGCAGTCACTCAGCTGCTGTTGGTTACAACTGGTAATGACATCTGAGGAATGTCTAAGACACTAGCCCCATCTTATTCCTAATACTTACTGGATACCTTTAAAAATATGTAATAAAATACATATATATTTAAGAATATATTTAAGAATGCTTTTAAAATATGCCAAACTCCACATATTTGATAACTGAGAAGTCTCATGTATGTATAGATATTCATGTATGTAAACAGCTTTTGCTTAGTTCTTGATGTTTTCATCTAGTTTGAATCCAACTAAAATTCCTGAATGACATACTTGGTTTTTAATTCAAGATTTTATTCATTTTTAGAGAGAGGAGAAGGGAGGGAGAAGGAGAGGGAGAAAAACATCAATGTGCAAGAGAAACATCTATCTGTTGCCTCTCATGCTCCAAACCAGGCATCTGGCCCACAATCTAAATGTGCCCTGACCAGGAGGAATTGAACTGGTGAACTTTTGGTTTCTGGGATAACACCCAACCCACTGAGCTACCCCACTTAGGGCCACACTTGTTTTATTTTTTTACCTTGGCCATGAGTATTGACTAGTATTGATAGTCCTGAATTACAAAAACATCATACTGAAATGCTTCCATATTTAAGTTGTATATTTTGATTATCAGAAGTAAAATACAAAATTCAAATACTGAAAGCAAGAAGTCTTAATAAAATGTAATATAAAAATGTTAAACTTTGATTCAGTACTTTCTGTAACTGTTGTATTACAAAAAAACACAAAAACTTTGCCTTGTTAATGTTAGATCAAGTAAGTGGAAAGCTTAAATATTAACTTTTACCTTCTTGGTCCTTCATCACATGTTACTTGCTATTCAGGCAATGTTATTTTATTCTGTGTGCGATAAGATACTAAGAAAAATTTATATAACCTAACAGACTGGGATTTAGAAATGGGTTACAACACTATCTTTTTAACTAATAGGTCTTGTAGAATAGGGCCTTCTAATTAAGAATGATTCTCATGTATTAAAAGCTTAACCTAAGTTTTGAAATTGGCCTATAGTTCAATTGCAAGTTACTTAATCATGTCATCTTGAAGTTCTAACAAGAAAGAGAAAGTATAATGTCAAGATAGTATATCTTGCAATTATACTTGCAATTTTTTCTAACACTGAAATTCAGTTCAGACAATATTCACTGGACACTTGAATGACTCAGTGAAATGCTGTGAAAAAGGATTGGTGGCTTTTAATGTACGATTTGCATCTTAAACTATAAATGGTAAATCTTGGAAATTGAAATGAACATTTTTAGTTTTTGTGATAATATGTGTTACTAAAGCCCTTCTTGTTTTTCCCTAATCTTCTCCTTCATTTCTAGAACATATTCAGCAGATTTTTATCTGTGAGCTTGAGCCAGTCTGGCTGGACAGCACCGAAGATTCACCAGTGACGTCCATTTCCTAGAAGGAGAATTTTTAACTTCTGCCTTTGATATGCCCCTGCCAGTGTTCTTTCCTTGCAAGTAAGTGTGTGTTTTGTAATAAGAGAAGTCCCTCCACCTAATGTAAGATCCTTTGAGCTCTCAGGAGGTTTATGTAAGTGAATGATGGTATTTAAAAACTTTAATTGCATTGATTCTTATCTCAAAGACCACCTAATCTAAATAGCACCTGGCTCAGAAAAGTACGAGGTATGGAAAATCAGAGTAGCATTTTCTCTGGAGAAATTTCTACCAGATTTTTATATGGAGTACTAGAAGCCAATGAATATATTTTAAAAGTTTGATCCCATATCAATTAACAGCCAAATCATATACCCAATGACATTTACAAATAATTAATAACCACAAATAGGATGGTCCTCTCTTGAACACCTGTTACATTCCAGACTGTATCAGATGTGTTCATCGCTTTGTCTCATTCATTTATTCTCCACAGGAAGCAACATTCTCCCCCCTGTACAGAGATGAAAGCCAAGGCTCAAAAAAGTGAAGGAATTTACCCAAGGTAAACAGCTAAATCATGAATAAAATCCACATCGATTTGACTTTAAAATCTAGTATCTTAACCACCATGCTACAGTATTTTACAAAATATTTTTTTCCAAATATGGCATTAAAAATGTACCTTCGCCCTTTTGCTATTTCGGGTCTCCCCATTAACAATATTTTGACAAATATGGAATGTATATAAAGTCCTAGAGATTTTAAATGATCATTTAAGGAAAGAGCTTGTATTATTTTTTAGTGTGAAGTTAAGACTATAATTTGCTGTATGGGTTAGAAATCACTGACTTGTGTATAAACTCACTATCGCCGTCACTTGATTTGTAACCACTGCCACTTTAGTGGGGAGGGGATGGAGTTCAGGGAGGTTCAAGGTTTTGTGTGGGGTCACAGTGTTAGAGCTGAGTGCTGAATTCTGCTTTTTTACTCTAAAGCACATTTTGTTTTCTTGATAAAGGTATAGATTCTAAGCATGTCTGAGAATGGCTAGTGTTTTGTGGGTGCTTTAACAAAATGTTTAGCTTCTAGAAAAATATGCCAACATGAATTCCCGGGAAAGGGGCTTGCATTTGGCCGGCTGTGTGGTTTTCGCCGAGTGTGTGGAGAGGGTTGCTCCTCCCGAGCAGAGCTTGACCTCGTCCGTCCGGGGCTCGAGGGGAAAGGATCTCATTTGACCTGGAATCTGGCATTTTACCAGAAAAAAAATTTTTGGAGTCCTTAATGTAAGCATTGTTCACCAAGAAAATAAACTTTTTGGTTTTTTGTTCGGCTAAGCACATGGTTAATCATCCATAACAGGAGATAGTAACGTTTCCTGCTGACTTTTTCTTTTCTTTTTCCCAAAGTTGGAACAAACCACTAGTGCTTTGTGAACCATAAAAAAAAAATCAGCATGTTCTAGTGCCGTGAGTCTCTTGATTTTTATATAAAACCATATCCTGTTTCTGTTATTTTGTGTTTTACAAAGTGAGGAGGTGTGGCCTTTCCTACTTTGTTGTCTTGTTGATGACGAGGGACTGATTCATTAATTTGATAAACTGATGAGTGCAAACTGGTTGCCAGGTGCTACTGAAGGCGCTTAGGGCACAGCTGTGAACAAAAGAGCCAAGGTTCCTTGGCCTCATCAAGCGAACATTCTAGTGTGGGAAACAGACAATGTGCACTACTGCATCACCTAAACAAGGACAGAAAGTGGCATTTCTCAGGGGACGGGAAGGGCAAGGGTGACTCTCAAACCTTATCAGAGTTATTCCAGAACAGCCTGATGGTGACAGGAGGATCTGCTCCCACAGCTGCCTGAACGAGCAGCGGCTGCTGCGTGAAGTACCTAGAGCACAGCCCCCCTTTCGTCCCCACCCCCCAAAGTTATGGTTTTTACATTGAAGTTTTAGTTTATGGAGACAATAAGCTTTTGTTTCCTACTTTCTCCAGGTTTACTAAATATCAAATTAAAAGATGGAATTTGGACAAGTAAGTCATAATCGAGCATCTTAAAAAATTAGTATTTTTAAACCATTTGTCTAAGATTTTTGACCAATAGTCTGGATCTGTAAAAAAAAAAATATTCCCCTCTACTGGACATTGATCCAATTTTCTTACTGAGTAACCTGTATTTTAGTTAACTTGAGCAATCTTAGTTTATCACATTTAAATAAAACTTTATGAACCTAGTACTTCTTATGCATCAACTCTGTCTTATGCTAATGCTTGAGTATTATATGTAAATATGCTTTCTGCAGAGAAAGATATATCTCCATAAAATAGACTCATTAAGTACAAATTGAACTTGAGAGTGAGTTAACTGAACAAATATATAGAATAATAACACTGATATTTTCCTGGAAAACTAGGCATTAGAGGAGGCACTAAATCTCTTCACTAACATATATACAACTGTGCAAGTTAGAGATTAATCCCACTGCACAATGATGAGACTGACCCACTCATAATAACTTGTCTAAAGTCAGAGGTAGCCAGTGTCAGAGCTACAAGGCAGACTCAGATCCAGTTCCAAAGATTTTCCAACATGCCACCTGACTCTGTATTTCATAGTCACACCAAACACAAAGCACTTATTCACACCAATATCCATCTCCCAATGTCTGGTTACTGCATACTGACATTATGTATAGCACGTATTTCATTCCTAGATCAGATGCCTTTTACTATAAAATCTGAAAATATTATCTATGAAAATGAAGACATGTACTATTTTAAAAGGGCAAGTTAAAGTATAAATGACCAATGAACATGGACAAAAGGGTGAGGACTGACTATGGCAGGGAGGATAGGTGGGGGCAGTGGTGGAGAGCAATGGGGGAAAACTGGGACAACTATAATAGAACAATAAACAGTTTTTAATTAAAAAATAAAATAAAAGGGCAAGCAATTTATTAAATAAAATGTCTTTAACTCTTAAAAGATGATTAGAAATAAAAAAAAACAAACAAAAGAGGTGATTAAGAACACCTCTCCAAACGAAGTACACAAGACCCCAATGACTGCAGGTGTCTCTGTAAAGCGCACATGTGATCACTGTCACGTGCCATGAAAGTGAAACATTCTGATGAGCAAAGTTGTATGTGAAAAATGCAGGCAATTTTTCTGAGTAAAACAAACAAAAACCAAAGCTAAATATAAAACCAATAGATAGGCAAGATAACTATTACCTTTCTTTGTAATGAGCAAAAAAAAGCCTTTCCCACATTGACCCCTCTAAATAGCAAAACAAACATTTTTCAAAATCTTCCTGATCTGATCCCAATATCAATATTAGGAGCATTAAGAAATCATCAATAAATTATGTACTAAATTTTCTTTGGAGAGGAGGTAATTGTGTGTGTAGCTTGCTACTGCTTCAATCCAGTACTTTCTTTAAGGAGACCCTAGCACTTTTTAAGAATTTCTTTCTTTTTTTCCTTTTTTTTTTTTTTTTGCCAAGAGGGTACATGGAAAACAAAGAATAATGATGGTTTGCCTTTAATTTTCATAGAGGCTCCAAGACAATGAAGACAAAAGTAGAAATCCATCATCTATAGAATCTAACAGAGTGTTTTATTTAACCAACATCCCCACTCCTTTTTCTAAGAACCTGAACATCAGCCAGATTTTTTCCCCTTAAACAAAAAGATCTATTTAAAAAAATTTCCAACTTTGTACTTTCACCTGTTGAAAGTGTTCATTTGTCAAAGCTGGTTGAAGTGCCTAATTCCTGTGTTTCTGAGAGTTCCAGTACACATTTTGAGCCCAAGAACTTACAGTCCAGCTTAGTGTCTTCCATCCTAAAATGCTCCTTTCTCGAACATGCTGCCACATATCTGCATGTCTTCCTCTTGTTTTGGTCTCAGCCTGGCAAAGACCAAAGACTCAGGGAAGGAGCCGTTCTTCCCTCTCACACAGCACGAGGTGCACTCAGGAGACGGGCAAAGGGTGATGAGACACACAACTCTACGGCTGGCCGCTGCTTTTTAAACAGTAATCTTGTTCACTGAACCAAGTAAAAATGGAGAAAGGCTTTGTTCAAAAGAGCCAGTGAAGCTCAAACGGGAGTGGGCTGGGAGCAGGGGAGGCTTTTCCTGGTTAAGAAATGGTTGCTACATATGAGCTCCATCTCAGAGACTCAAACTCAGCAAAGGCCCCAAACAGGATGTGCATTAAACCTAGATTAAAAACTTAATTGCTTACCAAAATCATCTAAATGTTATTTGCTCTGATCCCAGACTCTTCTGCCTTTGGCTTCCTGACGTATTAAAAATGACATTTAAAACCCTGAAGATTATGGCTGATTTTGTTCCCATACCAAAAGCATCTGAAAAAAGCAATCATTGAGAGTTAGTCAAGCAGAGAGACCTCTGTTCTTTATCTCCCTTCATTGAGACTAGACATAAAGCTGTAGGGAAAAAATGCATGAAATGAAGTTTCACTGCCCTTCAAAAGATTGACTTGCTTATTTAGCAAGGGTTGAAAAACTCTAAAGGTCTTCAAAGAGGAGATGAAAAATCAATGAATATAAACGTTTAAATTTTAGAAATTATTTCTAGATAAAGTGAACATGGGTCCTCAGAATTTATCTTCTTTTTTTTTTGCCCATGATAAATTGCATTGTAAACTTTGAATTCAACATTTCTATCACAACTTTACCTCAGGCTTGCCTTTAAAAGGATGTTTTATCTAGGGGCAGCCACAGAGAGTAAACAAAAGAAGGATAATCTCAAGTTCTCACTGTGTCCTCCTGGAATTCAAAAATGTGTGACATGGGGGTCAGAGTGCTCTGATTAAAACCAATTAACTTAATGAGTTTGGGTGAGCAATGGGCCCACTTTGGAAAAGAAAATTCTATATTTAGAAGAAAATAAATCCTTTCCAGCCTCTCGGAGGAGCAGGATGTGACTGAACCAGTAAAGAAACTGGACACACAGAATAGCTAAGATGTAGGAAGGTCCAGTACCCAATGGACTTGGCAATGAACCCTTTTAATGCCTTTGGAACTACAGACTACCTAACAGGAGACGGGAAAATGCCAGCTCTAGTCCAGCACCATCCCCACACCTCCAGGGGCCCAGCATCTCACCTGCCTGAGTACCATCACTCCCCTTAACTCGGCACTTTCATTTTTCCAAAGTAGCCTGTATAAGTATTGACAACATTTCCAGTGCAACCTTGGCACTGCTGACATTTTGGACAGGATGACTCCTCACTGAGGGTGGCAGCGGAGGGAGAGGAGGCTTTGCTGTGCATTGTAGGAGGTGCACCAGCGTCCCTGGCCTCGCCCGCCAGATTTAAACACCATACACATTCCTCCCCAGAATCGATTCCATCAAAAAATGTCTTCAGACATTACCAAAGGTCCCCTAGGAGGCAAGATTACTCCTGGTTAAGAAAACAAATCCCAGCTCTAGCATCCCCAAATCCATGGTGACACTTTCTCCTTGCTTGCCCTCCAGGCAGGGCTAGAGTGGGGGAAACACACAGACACATGGAAAGCAAGTGCTTTCCACGGTTGCACGGTTCCATTGTTTGGTGTGGTTGTCGTTTTTCCCAGCAGGCCTTAGTGCTGCTAAGAGGGACGTGGGGCTGACTTCACAGGAAAGGCCGGTCAAAGCTGGGAAGTACACAGGTACTGCCTGAAGGTCGGAAGATGTGGAAGAGCCCCCAGTTCTGCCCAGTCAAGGCAACCGAACCCATGAGACTGCATGAACACTAACATGAGGAACATGTTGGCTATTAATTTCAGAAATTTTGAGGCATATTATTAACATATTAACTTATTTCCATATGTTCAGCTGGGCACCAAAGTTTTGGCCTGATACTTCAATTTATCTGATAATTCATTTAAATAGAACAAAGACGAGGAACCATGAATTTATCTAGAAAATGAAAAGTAACTCATCTTAGCAAATTAAAAAAGAACTTTCATTTCCTCCTTCAGAATCTCTATATTCTTCAGACACAAATGTAACTAGATCAGTTTTCTACTTTCCAGTTCACTGAAAATCAGAAGCACCTAGTTTTGAGGGGACAGAAAGTTGTCAGGAGAGGCTCCTAACTGGTCTATAGCCTTCCACACCTTGACCTCCCAAAATAGGGAGGTCAACACAGCTATGAGATTCACGTTTACAGCATGCAAATCTGATCCTGTAGCTTCTCTGACTACCTCGGTTTTCTTTGGGATACACTCCAGCCACCCCTGTAGCAAGAAACACCTGCTTCTTCCTCACAACCTCATGGTGGCTTTTCTCACCACTTCAGCGACACCACCGGCTGCTTGTCCACTTGGGGCCCTCCTGTCTGGCCTTATAGACGGCTGCCTTTGGCTGCACTTCTCTGAACTCAATTTTCTTCTCACCAAGAGCACAGGATGAGCTGCACCTGAAGAACCATCTCCCCTCACCTGGCTGACTTCCACAAGCCTTAGTATCTCTGCTTCCCACTGAGTCCTCGGGAAGCTCCCACAGTGCCTCCTGCTGCTGTCACGCCCGGCCACCCACGCCGTGACCAGCAGTGTGCACGGCCGAGATTTATAGATGGAAAACAGAAGGGCTAGTGGAGAAAAACGCTGCCTTCTGAAGTGCAAATTCCTCCTCCCACGCCATTGGAAATGATACAAATAACATAATTAAACATATTGATTGCCTGTTATGTGTCAGACATTATTCTAAGGGCCTATATAGGAACTGGTGTAATCTCACAATGATTCCATTATCGTGCCAATTTTACAGGTGAGAAAACTCAGATATACAGAGTAGAATAACTTGTTGAATTTAGTTAAGTGGCAGACTCTATCTGCCCTTGAACTTCCAAGCGTCCAGGAAGCACCAGACCAGAGTCGCTGGCCGATGAGAAATGACTGGTACCGCAAGGACAGGAGATGGGCGGGGAAAGACAGGAGGTGACATTGTGTGGAGACAGTGCACCACTCTTCCCTTATGAACAAAAGTGTGTCACTAACTAGGGGCGCATTCATCAGAAAAGCAGCTGAACGCTAACAAGAGAGGAATGAGAATAAAGGGCTTTGTGTGTGATGAGCGGCTCAGGGAGAGGACTGTGTTCCAATGCATGGAGCGGTGGGTACCATCAGTGACGTGTCACCTGACACTGTATCTGCACAGCAACCGTCTCAGAAAAAGGCGCATTGCCAACGCCGCACATTGTGGTTGTTTTCTCAGGGTGAAGGTCTTGGTGTCAGTCCAATTTTGGTTTCATTTTCAACACGGCAAAACTATATTAATGTGGCATACTGGCAGACTTTACAAAGGAGAGTTTATAATTCAGATTTAAGGACATGGAAGTCACTCTTAAAATACTGTAAGTTTTAAAAAGTAATAAATACAGAAATCCCAAGAAATGAAAGGATAAGGACTTTCAAAGTCTGCATTACATAATGACCTCTAACAAATGTAAAATGTGGCAAATATTTTATAAGGGGACTTGGTGGATTATAAACTTGACTACAGAGCAGTTTTAGGAGAACTCTGAGGACTACCTCCCTCGGTTGTTTTATGCTCATTCATTTTACTGACTACCTGCCTTTCTCAGTTCTTTACGCCAATCTGAGTTGCCCCATTATCATTAAAACCACAGAGCACCTTGTCGTGACATTGGAACACGTGCAAGGGGCTCTCACATCCCTTAAAGTTTTCTCTCATTCAATCTGCTCATTTGTCACCCTGCTCCTTCCTTGTTTTTTCTTTCTTTCCTATTGTTCCCTCTTAACTTCCAGCTACCAGAGAAACCAGATCCTGTAAAACTGGAAACTTTAAACTGCAGCAAGAATTCTATGAGGCTGTGAGATATCTGGTAGTGTTTCTGCTTGTTTTTTTTTAACCAACTTTATTCCACAGAAAATTGTGTGATCCAGCATTGTCTAGCACTCCTCAGAAAAAGGAGGGTGTGTGTGTGCATGTAATAACAAATGTATAACTAAATATATAAATACATAGATGAAGAACTAGCTGTTCTACAAATGACAAAGAACATGGACAGGCTAAGTCCTTAGACTAGAAAAGATACTACATTTATTGTGTATTCTCATTATTTATAGGAATTTAAAATGTTTTCCTGCAGACTTTCAAGTATTTCACACAAAAAGAATCACACACACACTAGATGTGATTGGCACAGTTTTCAAAATATTGCAGTTGTGCGGTGGATCCTGGCCGGCAGGATCCATCTATGTTGTAGCTGCTCGTGAACAAATACACATGGACTACAGAAGTCCTGTGTAGAAAAGGGGATGGCATGGCTGCTCTCTGAGAGACACAGAGGGCGAGAGGGCAAAAGAGCTAGTTCCTGCCTAGACAGGCTTTTATTGCTTTTATGGGTACATTACATGGAGGGTAGTCCTGATTTACTATGCACAAATTCACTGTAGGGGATTACCTTTTACAGATAAGAAAGAATGTTGCTAATAACTTCAAAGAGAAGGATGTTACAGACCAAGGGGAAAAGTGGTTGAACCGGTCACACTCCATACTTGGGAGGTTTAGCTTAGACTTTAGGAAGTTGCAGTAAGCCCTCTACCTCAATGCAGGGTGAGGGAGTTTTAGCAAAAGCAAGTCTCATAGCAGTCTACGTACAATGCAGGCCTGATTCCCCATGGGAGAACCTATCTGAGGGCATGGTCCTATGTGCTGACTCGCACCCCACTGGTTTTCCACATGAGGGCTGAGCTACATTTCCACCACACTCGAAACAGTTCCCTACACAGTTGGAAGTGCTGGTGTTTGGTGGAGTTTAGTGCTCACTGGATACAAAATGCTGGGGAAAGGGCTGCTGCTGGTTTAAGAGGCAGGTGCTGAGAACTACATTTTCTTGTGTTTTCTTATAATTAGAGAAAAGTAAAAGCAGAAGTTTGTTTTATAAAGGAACTTATTCTTTGCTGAAAAATTTAACAGCTAAAACACATACAGATTTGACATACAGAATGAGTTGAAAGACCTAGTTCACTCACTCTGTACCTGCTACAGACTGGTTTCGGTCATGGTGGGTCTTACTTGGTAACATTTGACTTCTAATCCCCAATGTATCTATCCCATTCACCAGACCTCCTTTTGAATCTTTCTTCTTGATTTTTCTGTTTCTTCTGTGTTAAAAAAAGCCGTGAGTGCAGCTTTCGAGAGTCTTTGTTTACACTCAACCTTCACAATGTACCCAACACTCTCTTTTATTTGCCCTCCTGATAATTACCTTAACCCTTGGCTAGTTCCTAGAGGCCACAATCTTTAAGATGCTGGAAAGGGAAGATGCTGCTTTTTCGGGCCGGTGTTATAGCACCTTGGACAGTGACAAAAGCTACAAGTGCTGATTATTTATGAGAAACTCAGTTAAAAGTGCACTCCACAGAGAATTGTTTTCTTTAGAAGACTATGTACAATCTGCTTGTCTGTTTCTCCAAATCCATATTTATGGTACCCTGGAATTTTTTGTTTTGACCTCAAATTGCAGAAACAAATTTCCTCATTGTCTGAACTTCACAGGAATGGCCAAAACTATACCTTTTACCAAACAATAAGAGATCTTACCTCAACACCCTTTCACGATGCCTGTAATTGAACCCTCTCAATTTTCTTACTCTACTCTTTGCACATCACCAGCGACTGCCAGCTTTCCCATGGCCCTTGTTGCGAGGCACACTACTTTAGGGATAATTACAGTAAAGTCACTAAAATTTTTTATGCAGGAAGCAACATTTCTTACTAAACTTTTCAGCAAAGTCGAGTTGTCCAGGCTGGATTACTGGGGCTGAACCTGCTAGAAAAGGTTAATTGCATCTTTCAATGGCAAGAATTTCTGTGAAAATACTCTTATGGGCATTTTTTTTACTTCTCAAAGTTTTATTAAATGTTCACTTCCACTTGGGAAACTGATAACCAAATATTATTTGAACTCTCCACTTTTTGTTGTCCATTCCTGTAAATTAATAACAATGCATTTCAGAGGGGATTTCACTGGCAGGAAGGATTAATGGGAGAGCGTGACAGCTGGAGTCCTGAGTTAGATCAGAAATTAAAATAAAGAACTTGACCTGGTTTCAAAAGGGACATTTGTTAATTTCTTCAAACCAAACCAACATCATCTTTCAGGTATTTACCTTAAGCCAAAATGCTTAGGTTATTGCACAGAACCAAAATATGTTATCTATGTATGTAAGAAACTCTTGTACAAAACACCTTACATCTTTGACCTACAAACAGCATGGTTTCCTTGTCTGTATATCCCAGCCTACGAAAGTCACTCTTTCCTCTCCCACTGACCAGCCCTAGACATTTCAATGTTCTCAGTGAGTAGCAACCAATAATGCCATAATGAAGTCAGGGAGTGAAGGGAAATAAAAACATCAAGTATAATACATCCAAAGTACAAATTTTTATAACCTAATTTACAAGTGTGACCAGACTATGAGATTTATGGCAGTGTGGCATGACGCAAGGAAACAAGAGCATTCGAATGTTGTAGGGTTTTCTGCTGTGAAACAGAAGAGGCCTTGGCGGCCTACCTGACAGACTGGGCAAACAGCCTAGACTCAAACCAGCACCACCGCTTTGTTTTTGCCTTTACCCTCCGAACTGGCTTCACTACCACCCTTCAGTCTGATGATCACTCCCCTGCTCAGTCACCCGCCACGTCTTCTAAGTGCCTGAGAAATCTCAGCCACTCCAATGTGTTTCCCCCTGCAGTGAGATTTCCCACCCACCTCTCCTCCAATTATCCCATGTTTTACAGAAGGGAACCATTGGCTATTTCTTTAATCTGCCTTATAATTTCCTCTCCTTTCCCTCCATTCTTCCCTTCCTTTCTTTTATTTCTGCTCTTCTTTCCAGGTGAAATGTCTCTTGAATCATCTCTCTCAAGTCTTTCAAATACTTCAAGAACCAAGGCAAATATTCCCCATCCTCCATAGAGTCTATCTTGATTCTCCCACACAGAAGTGCTTGTCCTCATTCCATGCTGCAAATACATCAGTCATACTTCTCTAACAGCATCATCTTTGGAAGGGAGTTATCACACTCATTTGTCTATCTCCTGAAAGGCTATGGAGATAGCTCAAGCTCAGGAAACAATAAAGTGCAATGACCTTGCCTCTACTAAATGGGGTAATTTTTAATAGTGTTGAGGTATACATTTCAAAAGATTATAAATTAGACAATAAGTATGAAGTGTAGAAAATAGAAAATATAAGCACAAACTAATTATAATAAGGTATAATCTCAAAATTCAGACATAAAAACTATAAATATTTGAGTATTTGAATCTTACAAAGTTTTCCAAATTATATGTCTCTATATATAATACAAAAAAAGATTTTCATGTAATACTATTTGAAATCTAATTTATATCCTGAATATCTTATCAAGTCAAGAAGTATGTTTCTCAAACACATGTATTAACTGCCACACTAAATTGTACAGAAACACCATGATTTACATAGGAGATTCCCAAACTTAAGGTTTGTCATTTTTCAATGTTATAAATAAGGCTGCCTATAGAGTTGTATAAATCTTATCAATATCTGAGGATAAATTCCTAGACTAGATTGCTAAATCTTTGGTTAGAGACATTTAAACATGTTCTTTAAATTTATAAATGATATATTTCACCAAAGAGAGCCTTTTGCGTTGCTCATTAATA